ATGACGATGACAAACTAATATACAGCCTACAAATCAAATCAAAAAATCAATGCTAGAAAAAAACATTTAGTAATAATATTAACAAAGGATAGKCACTTCAAAGACTATGACATTCAAAAGCGAAAAGTTCATGAAAAGGTAGTCTAGGAGCATCTTAACATAGCTAAGGAAGGACAATATTCAAAACCAGGTGAAGCTGCAAATAAAGCTCCCTTTGTTTCTGATCGAAGGACGTTTCTTATTAATATTGAAGAGTTTAGTTCCAGAAAGACTATATCAGTTTAATCAGTATAACGAATAAAACGATTGCTTTTTTAAAAGACTACAAAAATTACAAAATTTCCTGACCCGTAAATAAAGAAATAATCCATATAAAACAATATATTATGAATTGTACCTTAACGTTCAAGTTGTCTTGAGTCTCGTCCTTTGTCAAGTTGTTGATTTTTGTGAATCGATCAGAGGAAAGAAGCTCACATAGACGAAAACCATCTTCTCCAGGCTTGGTGTTTAGATTCACCGACTTACACCAGTCGACCGCAACACAGTTCGACAAACATCCCATCATGTTTTTGGCTTTAGTTGACTGTGTTTTCGTGGAGTTTGTTACGTTGAGTCTGTGTCCGCGATAAAAGTCAAAAACAATTGGATCAGTGAATCGTACTTCACTTCTGGAATCGTGTATTCCRAGCAACAAAACACAAACACCGAGTAAGTATGGTAGAGACATCCTTCGGTCTATGTGTTTGCATGCGTATATTTGCATTAGCCAGGAGAAGTAAGACGGCTTTGAAAAAGTAATTAAATTATTTACTACGATGTCACCGGATGGATGGTTTGGGGGGGATCGATCTGGATTTTCTCTATACCCGTTTACCAGACAACTAGCTATACTAACAGCTCGTATATTAATCTAACAAAGTTGCGGTTTAAATGTGCGGGAAAAAGGCTGGCTCAGACACTTGAACAATAATCCAGTTTCGAATTCTCCAATGCTCTGTGTTAGCCTCATTTGTGCGCAAAATATTCCTAATTGTGATAATAAAAGTGTGAGATTKCAYATCAATTCTATTGTCTCTCTTTTCAAATTCCATGCGTTTTCACAGGCTATCAATAAAACAAAAGAATATGTTACTTGGTTTTGAGGCTAACACAGAGCAAACCAGAACTCGAAATTGGAGTATTGGTGGAGAGTCCACTATAGAGATCGTTTTTAAGAGGTTTTTTATCTTTAATTTTATTTTTGAATTTCAAGACCTGTCTGAATTATGTTTTTGCTGTTATGTCTGGTGGAGCCGAAATAGATTAATTAGGAATTCCAATGCTGGATGGCTAAAGGTTTATCCATTGTCAATAGCATTTTCAGTTTTTCCTAAGAGTAAAAACAACAGTTACTTATCGTAAAAAGGAAAATAAAGAATGATTGACGCAGCACTAATAAAAACCTTTCCATTTAAAGTTGGCTTAATGCAGTTTGAATGCAGCTTTTAGCTGTACGAATAAAGCTGACACCAATGTTGTCATACTCGTSCCCAGTGCACCTCGGTCGTCCCTTCTCCCTTCCGAGGTGCACTGGRGACGAGTATGTAATGTTGTTTGAAACAGTTTGAAAGCAATATTTTTTTCTAGCCTCAAGCAGACTTTATAATCAAATTTTCCCAGCACCCAAAAACATTTTTAATAAGTTCAGCACTTGAATAGTGTTGCATATCTTTGTACTGTGATAACAAATTTTCCAAATAAGGTTTTTTTAACRTTCTCATAAAGTTTTATTATATCGGACATAACTTGTCTGTGCATAAATTTCGCTGTCGTTTGGACACGGGTAACCCAAGCTCTTTACTTGATATAAGAGAGAATGTATGTGAGTCTATGTAAACAGTCGATTTACAGCATAAAGATGCATTAAATTTCGCTGTAACTTGCTGTGTGGATTATTATAGTTACCGGTAATCTCTGGAGCGATTTTMAGAACTTTTATGAATTGTTCCTTGAATATTGGTTCAAGTTTGGTGAAGCTGTAGCAAAAAGATTAATTAGTTCTAATAGATTGAAGAACATCATTACTTGAGGAGGTATCTAGCAACCCAGCTCCAGTCTCATTCACATGTGGTTATGGAAGGCCTGAGGTATTATTCTAACGTATTTTGCTCTGATTGGAACTGGAAGAATATTAGTTACCACCGTATGCTTGTCTTTATTTCCACTAAAAATCTATGTAAGAAGATAAAATGGGATTTATCAGTGGTAAAAGACAAAATAAAAAGAAGGAACACGGCAATGGTATTGTAATGACATTTTCTGGCAATACTCCGTTTTCGAATTCAAAGCGAAAAACCGCTGTTTTATGTGACAACAGATTCTCTTACTCAAAGACCTTACCAAACACAACAGAAAGCACGAGAAGAAAATGTCGCTATTACAATAGCCTTGAACATTTGCATTTCTCGAGTTGATACTAACCCTGTATTCTCATTAGACCTAAGGTTCAAGTCTTCTGGGAATACAGGCTTAGAATCAACTGTAAAATGTTTGGGCGTCTCACAATGGAAATGTTTGGCTTCTTTGTACATTTTCTCGTGCTTTTTTGTGTTTAATAGAAAGATTTTTGCGTAAGAGAATCTTCTGGCAAATAAAACAGCGGTTATCCGTTTTGAATTCGAGTATTCAACATTTGATTCATACTCAGACGAGGATAAGTGCACTTGCTTAAGTTAGTCTGGCTCTATTTATACCTCATATATGAGTATATTTGTGAGAATCTACTTCTTTTTAAAAGAAACTGACTTTGACTCTCAAAAATTGGAATTTAAAAATGTGCAAATGTGACAATAGCGAAAATGATTAAGCAAATGAATTCATTAAAGGGTGCTTTTATCCTCAAGGGCTAACAAATAACATTGACTAATAAGGCGGGGTAACTAATGAGTTTCGTCTATATATCTTAGGAGAAATGTTTAGCAATTTTAACAGTCAGCATTCAAAGTGAAGGTATTATCACTTCAACCTAAGAAATTGTGATGGTGTTGATAATTCATTTTCGATATCGTTAAGGTGTTACGGATGCATATAAATTATTTAATTCAAAATTTCAAGTTCAATATTTTCATTTTATAGATTTTTTGTCGAAATTAGACTATATCTGAACAAAGTCTGAGGCTTCATACTGATTTATGTCCATGGTATACTTGTCTAGCAATCTTCGAGTTGTGTCGCCATTGGTGGCTTGATTGTTAATCGATCAGATGAAAGAAGCTTGCACAGGAGGAATGAAGGACHTTTCTTATTAATAATGAACTAGAGTTTAGTTCCAGGCTTAATCAGGGCAACGAATAAAACGATTGCTTTTCAAAAGACTACCGACTTACACCAGTCGACCGCAACACAGTTCGACAAACATCCCATCATGTTTTTGGCTTTAGTTGACTGTGTTTTCGTGGAGTTTGTTACGTTGAGTCTGAGTCCGCGATAAACGTCAAAAACAATTGACACCAATTGGATCAGTGAATCGTAATTCACTTCTGGAGTCGTGTATTCCAAGCAACAAAACACAAACGCCGAATAGAGGTGGCGAAGACATCTCTAAATCATTTTAGTATAAGGTGTTGGCACTACGACGAACCCTTACTCCCGTGCACTTATTTATCCGCAGCATCCTAGTTTATATCGTACCTATATAAATCAGCTGCTACAGGCCGAACCAAAWTAGACATGTCTATAATAGTTGATAATTGTATTGTTTTTGGTTAATCAATTGTTTTTATGGCTTTTACCTATAAATGATCTCGTCTATATTACTATCAGTGCGAATGTTAAGGCCCGTTTACACTTGACATTTTGCAGCGCGATTGTCGCTCGACTATTGCCACTTAGTTCTCGCGCACCTCAAATCCCTACAAATCGTACATGTAAACAGCCCTGCGATTGTCGCGGTGACTTCAATATTCACAGCGCAACGAGTTGCACTGTAACTGAGCTAAATTTCAAGCATGTTCGAAACTCAGGCGATTATCGCGCAACAATCGAGCTTCAAAAATCGCAAGTTTAAATAATGGTCSTGTTAATATTCATCACTCACATTACTGTTCGATCGTGCAAGTTTCATTCGACAACTTTAGGCTGATTTACACGGTACGATTTGTCGCGCGCGACTTGTAGTAATACGATTTTCCTACTACAAGTCGTAGGATTTTAAGCAGTGGTTCAAAAACCTACTACAAGTCATAGGTTGCGTACGACTGTTGTAGACAAGTCGTAGGGGCATTTACACTGCGCGATTCAAGTCGTATACTACAAATCGCACGAGACAATCGAGTCGTGTAAATCAGCCTTTTCACTCGCCGTTCCCTCCGACAACGTTTTTTGAAATAAGTGTATAGTTGTCCCCTACCCCCTTCATAGCAATAAAATCTCGTGCCATATATAAAAATCTTTAAAGCCTCCATTTGAGATTTATACAATAGACCATTGGCTTGTGCCACTAAAAGATGTCTTTTGCCGCTAAAGTTTTTTCAAATGGATCAATGGGTATTAGAAAACCGCTYAAAACTAAAACCATTAATTAGCCTGCTTTTTATGAAACACTAACAAAACAGTTTTGAAAGACACAGTTTCGTTTCTTCGAAAACAATGAGAGTATATATTWCAATCAAAAGACATTATGAAAAATACAAAAGACAAGCATGTTTGCCAGCGAAATACGAAAAAAGCTTTATGAAAATCCGATCAACAATCTAATCAAATTTGGAAGTTTGAATTCAAATTTGGTTTCAATAACTATGTAATTTTGAACCGACAAAGAATCGAATAATGGTGTTTTGGAGGGCGCGCCTCATGTCTATTGACTGTAAATTAAATAATGGCCTCGCTCCTCGGCTTATTGAAAATAATGAACGAGAGTTGCGCTATACAAACAGTATAAATAACTAATTAAGTCATCAACTTGTATACAAAGATGACTTAACATGTCTCTACCATATCTAGTCGGTGTTTTTGCTTTGTTGCTCGGAATACAGCACTACAGAAGTGAAGTACGATTCACTGATCCAATTGTTTTTGACTTTTATCGCGGACACAGACTCAACGTAACAAACTCCACGAAAACACAGCTAACTAAAGCCAAAAACATGATGGGATGTTTGTCCAACTGTGTGGCGCTCGAGTGGTGTAAGTCGGTGAATCTAAACACCAAGCCTGGAGAAGGTGGTCTTCGTGTATGCGAGCTTCTTTCCTCTGATCGATTCACAAAAATCAACAACCTAACAAAGGACGGGACTCACGACCACTTGAATGTTAAGGTACAATTTCAGAGGCAGTTTCAATTTTTTATTTTATTTTTTATTACTATTATTATTATTATTATATATATATATGTTGACATTTGATGGAATCTAATTATCACAGTCGTTTACAACGAATATAGCCGATATTGAAGAGGGAACATTGTTTGTCGTCCATATAAAATTCTATAAAGCAATAGAGATTCTACATACATACGAAAAATCCACTGGATATACAATGCCAGTCTCTTGACATTTTTGACTTTGAAAATATATTTTTGGTGGACTACCTTTCAAGATAGTACATGATAGTATGTAAGATAACACCTTTCTTAAATATTTCTTTCAGACTCCATGTGATGTCATTAACAGGAAGCCGTGCTATAATGGARGCCATTGTGTYTTGAATGATGGCAATTACACGTGCAATTGTCAGGGAACTTTTTCAGGGGAAGTTTGCCGTGAGATAGGTATATAGACTCGTAGGTGGTGATTAATTTTAATTAAGCTTTGTAAACCGAGCCTCGATTGGTTATCTATTATTCATTGTGGTACGTGTATCACTTCAATTTACCCTCGAATAGATTCATCCTATCATACATGCTAATAACAGCTATTGGTATTACCATTCTAGCGGRCTATTGCAAATCCTTCGTTTTGATTGGCTATGCTATTGACTCGGGGTCGATTTTCAATAGTCCTCGACTGGCCGGTGAAATCGCCAATTTTGATTTTCTTTTTAGGAATATTTTGGGTCAAAACAATGTGTTAAGGATCATTTTAACTTTGCTCACTCAAACCAGCTTTCATCAACGTGTGGTAAATTAATTTTCACTTGTCAAACATGCTAATAGCCTGATTTTCAGACGAGGCCTGGGTCCTACGCTTCACTCTACCCTTGTGAAGCGAGGACCCAGGCCCGGTCTGAAAATCAGGCTAACATGCCAAGAATGTCCGACGAAGTCGGCGATAATTTATYCAAATTTAATTGAACCCGAAAGTGCGAAGTTTTAGGAATAAAACAATGTTTTATATATTTCATTCATTGTTTTGTCCGACTCATGAGCTATCGATCAGCTCGTAGTCCACTCGCCCTCGAGGTCTAATTGTTGATTATTGATTTTTTTTTTCAGAGGGCATATGGGAATCCTGGGGGGGATGGGTGGAATGTCCATGCCCTAAAAGACGTACACGAGTCTGTCGWAATCCACTGTCAAATGGAGCAGCGTCCGATTGTCCTGGTTCAAATCAAGAGACAAAACCATGTTCTTATCTTTCAGCGCTCACAATAGACGGTAATAATAAAATATACGCACTTGATAACCATTTCTTAACTATATATCATATTGTTTTAAAGTTTTGTTCCTGCCGACCATAAAACTCTGGGACTGATGTACCAATGATTGCTACAGCTCTCAACAAGTGTCAAAACTTTAGCTCTTTTTCAACAGGTTGCAATTCCCCGCTGGGAATGATAGATGGAAGTATTCCAAACTCGCGCATCAGTGCCTCATCATATTACCATTATATGGCTTCATGTTATCCCAAGCACGGTCGGCTCCACGATTCGTCACCATGGGCTGCCTGGTGTGCGCTGAGAAACAACGCAGGACACGAGTACCTCCAGATTGATCTAGGAGCTGTAAAAAACATTACAAAGATAGCTACCCAAGGACGTGCTGGCAGAAGGCAATGGGTGACCAAGTACAGCCTTTCCTACAGCAATGATACGAAGTCGTGGGTTGACTACTCTGGAATCAGCATGATGTACTTGAGTAGAAAGGTTGGTTAACTTTATTGATCATAAATACTGAAAGAAAAATAATGATGTGTTTTCACGAGCGATATTTCTTGTATTTATAAATAATTCCCACGAAAAATAGAGCAGTGTTTACACTTGGTACTAGGCTTTTCGTTCATAAGATATTTTAATATCTTTTTTTTTAAGTTATTACATTTAGGTTTATAATTATCAATTATTATTGTTTACATATGTACTAGGATATTACATAGTCGCGCGGAGATATGGATTTTATCTTCGAGTGTTGAAAAGATTTCTTACGAGTTAGCGTAGCTGAGACTTTCAACACGCGAAGACAAAATTTACAAGTATCTCCAAGCGAGTATGTAATATGTTTTTAATCATTATGATATATATGAAAGCAAATTATGTCGTAAAATACCTTTTTTACTTCCAATATATAGCCACTAGTGAAAATAACAACTTTTCAAAGGAGAGAAATATAGGTATTTCAAAGAATTATATGATAATTGCTTTTTATAGCTGCTCATTAAATTTCTTAACATTCAGGAATTCAGTGGAAACTATAACGATGGATCGGTGGTAGAGAACAATATTGCCGTCCCATTCAAAGCAAGGCACATCAGAATATACCCCTTGTCGTACCGTAGCTGGATGTCAATGAGAACCGAGCTATATGGATGCTARATTTYCAACACAACCAAAATTGAGCAAAGAAACCTTCAGCAGATCACTGAAACAGTGCAACCAACAATTAACAGTTTATCAACCACCAGCCAACATAAAACCTTAGTACACGCACAAAAAAAGAAAGAATAAAATAAATGAAGTAGTCATATTTCTTTAGCGGTTCATGTGAATCCAAGAAAATTCACACTCAACAATTTGCACTCTTTGATTTTGAAACAATCAGAAAGCACTTTTCAACAAGAGATCATTAGTAAAACAAACGAAACGACCGCAAAGGCTCATGGATACACGTAGGACTTTAACTGGTATAGGAGTTGTGAAAAGGAATTCTGTATTAAGCAGGCAGTCAAGATTAAAAGCGACAAAAGAAAACATTGTAATTAACGACCAAACATGTACTATGCCTTAAGGTGTAAATAAAGTCTCTATGTTGCCACTTAATATAAAGCCTCTTAACTGTTTTACGGAATAAAAGACATTAAATTAATCAAGACTACAGTACCTTCCACGATCAACATCTTGTTGAGATGACTTAAAGATGTCTTAACCAAATCGAGTCGTCTATTTGTTTAGTTGATTGGAATACATCCCTCTTGAAGTGAACCACGATTCACTGGTCGGTCCCATTCTGTTTGATTTATATCGCGGTCACAAATTGAACTTACCAAATTAAACCCCAATCTCTTCCCTGCTGAGTTCAAAACCCTCCCGGCTTTTRGAATCATAGATTATCGGAAATATAGAATGTCTCAAAACAATGAGAGTATAGTTGATAATTGCATTGTTTTTGGTTAATAATACTATTGTTTTTGCCTTTAGCTATAATGGTACATATTACTGCTAGTACGAGATAAAACGGGGGTGGACGTCGTTCATATTCGGAATGGTACTAAGTGGGTTTATAAATTTCAATTGTTTGATTGTAAAAAATGTCAAAAGTCGAGGAGTCGCATACTTTCACTGCCGGCCAGGCCATATCAAAACCTGTTTTTTTTTTTAAGTAATGAAAATAAGATAAATGCATTTTGACACAACAGCAACAAATTAAAGTATACCTTCTATTTTACTCATTGACGGGCACTATTAAAAGATTCCAGTACAGATTTATAGCTTTTCACAATCTTTAATTAGACACATATATTAACACAGATCACTCTAATACTATACAATAAATTAATAAATTCCTTTTTTCCCGCCACATCTTATTTGCATGCAAAAAATCTGTTCTTTTAATCACGTCGTCCTACTAACATATATCCTTATATGGACCTCTTGGATATGACGTCAAAACCGGTGCTATTGTGCTGCTGGTGTAAAGACTAAAAGAATTTTGATCTCTTTGGGTATTGAGAACACATATTTATCAAAACGACAAGGACAAGGACTGCTTTTGAAGTTGTGGTCATGGCGTGGAATAAGGTTTTAACACCCATACAGCTCCAGTCTCATCGACATGTAGCCATGGTAACCCAATGGTATTATCCTGATATACCTTGCCGTGATTGGAATGGGAAGATCATTAGTCACCACGCCTTCTTCGTTTATGTTTCCACTGAAAATCTGTGTTTAGAATATATATATACGAATTAACGTAATTTTCTAGGTGTATCAAATACTTGCTTCAGTGTTGGCAGAGGTTTTTTATGGAAATGGGAACCGGAAGTTACCTTTATGGAATGGAGCTTTGTGCAGTCATTGTATTGGTTCCACGAGGTCCCATCGTTGCTGTAGGACAGACTGTACTTGGTAACCCACTGGGAGTAGGTCGAACGACCTTGAGTAGCTCCCTTTGTGACCTTTGTAACTACCTCTAGATCAATCTCTAGATATTCTTTACCTAATCGAAAATTTGGTTCAGCACACCACGCTCTGTTATTTCCTTTGTTTAGACGGCCGTTCTGTGGTTGGCATTTAGGATCGGTATTACTTGAGGAAGCACTAATATTTTGGTCTGGAATTCGTCCATCACTCATTCCCAGAGGGCCATCGCAACCTAAACATTAAAGAGTATTATTTTTAAGTCACAACATTAATGTAAATTTGCATAGTACAGCGACGCCATTTCTTGACAAACAAAATGCAAAAAAAGAACTGTAAACACAACAATTTTCCATGACGTTTGCACGTACAATTACTGCGGTCTTTCAAGTTACACTAGCCTACATTAAAGCATGGATTCCCATTAAATACATTACATTACCAGCCATTGTGATATTATTGACAAACCTATTCACAAGTGCTATCTCGCAAAGTCTCATGAAAACTTTCCATAAAACACTTACACGTATAATTGCCGTCTCTCAAGGTACACTCGCCGCCATGAATGCATGGCTTACCATTAAAGATATCACAAGGAGTCTGAAAAACACCAATGTGAACTTTACAGTTGAAAAAGACATTGCTTAAGGATCATTAACATTTGAGGATCCCCGTCTGGCTAACTTTATGTGACAACTGTATACATAAACAAGCAATTATTAATGATAAAAAAAGTTAAAAAACTCATACATAATTAATGAGCTACTAGGCCAATAGAATGAGCCTATTTGGTCACATGCATGGACCTTTATATCTGATAAAACACTCCTTATTAGTATTCTTTATATAAAGAATACTGATAAGGGTGACCTTTATCAGATATAAAGGTCCATGACCCTAGCAAAGGTCTCAGGTTTGAAACCTGATCATTGACCAATGCAGGATGTCAACCGATTTCAGTGAACAGCCAAGAGCGCTTCTATTTTACTTTATGCGTATTCAATGTGGGATGACAAGAGTGCTTTGTAAAGTGATTCGCGCATGATCAGTTTGCCCCATTTATCTCTGAACATATTTGTACGGCAATTTCTCCAAGAATTTTAACGGATTTGAGTTTCAAATTAGTGTTGGAGTTTTTTAAGCCGTTTAAAACACTCGAGATCGTGTTTTATCAGGTATAAAGATTCTCGCCTTCGGCTCGAATCTTTATACCTGATAAAACACTCTCTCTCGTGTTTTAAACTATACATAAAA